CCTGCGTCCGTCAGAGTCTCTCTCCTTTTCTCTCCCCCCCCAGCGGTGATGGCGGTCCTGGCCGGGGTCTCAGATCGCGACCCCCCCTGTTCACTTGCGGGACCCCATATGGGGCCGCGACCCACACTTTAAGAAGCACTGACCTATGTCATACTTCTCACCTGGGACGGCTGGCTTCCTCTTTGATGGGAACCTCCGAGCACTGGGTATCGATGGCGCCGAGTTCCTGCGGCTCTCTGACAACCGTCTCCTTCACATCCAGGTCCCGCAGTGACATGGAGAACATGGTTTTAGATGGAGAAAGAGATTCCAGGTCCTTCCCAATTGCTGGACTCTGAGGACCTTCTCTCTTCCCGACAGGACTGAAATAAGTATCACATCAAATGTATCGCAAACCAAATGTATTAAATAATATTACGAATCATCATCATTATACCCCTGAGCCCTTGTCTGAGGTTCAGGGTCAGCTGCTTGTCAGGTGCAGAGCAGTCATAGCCATCTGCCAAGTAGTATTGTGCCCACACATATAAAAATAATAAATACTATCCTTGTTGCACTCCTTACTGAAATGTACCCTGTAGTGGGGGGGCAGGCCCGGATTCCCCACAAGGCCACCGAGGCCCGGCCTCGGGGCGGCACGTAGCAGAGGGGCGGCAGCGCCGTGGATTCCCCCGACGCACGGAACTTGTAGTTCCTGGCGCCGGGCGGTAAGTGGGGAATCCGGCCGTTCGTTTACAAGTGATTGCGGCGATGTCACCGCGATCACTTGTAATATGTGTGCAGTCCCCGCCCCCGCACCTACCTCTTTCCGCTGGTCTTCGGGACTCCGTCCTCCCCCGGCCGCCGAATCTCTCTCACTGGTTGGCGGCGCATTGCGGAACCTGGCCTTGGGGCGGCAGGGAGAGCAAATCCAGCCCTGGTGGGGGGTGCTCGCAGCGACTGCGGATGCGCCGCAAATATCAGAGGAATTGTAGAAATGTCTCCAGCACACCAGTCCTTTTAGGATAGCAAAATCTTCATTTATTGAAGTTCTTTGTCATATGAACAAGCGCATTCGGGACCACACAGGGTCCCATTATCAGGCTTTAGCATTGACCGAGCTGGTGTTGGTGACATTTCTACAATTCCGCAGATATAAAGACCTTCCGAATTCAGCATTTATTCCAAGTGCACTGGAATGGCCTTGCTCAGCATCTACAGAAAAGGAGCAGGCAAGGATCTACAAGAACATTTGTTACAATATTTGCACCTTGACCCTTTCAGGTCCCTCAAATGAACTGGAATTTCACTTGCTCTAGCACTAAGCTCTCTCATAGACAGACTGGAGTCACATGATTATCATAAACCCCGCCCACACAGCGAGACCTGTCCTGAGTCTCACTCACCTGGCCAGCTCCTTTGATTTCCGGCTCTTGTTTTTTTTGGCAGATATAGAAGTGTTTGATTTGGAAGAGAATGGCACCACTCCAATGCCAAAACCCCCGCCATCCAGTTCTCCGACCAACTTGACCTCCGTGTCCACCAGTCCGGCCTGGGAACAATGACAAAGATATATAACTGGAATATTCCAATACAAACAGGGCATGTGAGCGGTAGTATCTGTATTTTGGGATAACATTTTCAACCTCCTCGACTCCATTCTCTCCGAACGGTTGACTAAAGACCCCTATTTAGCCCTCCTAAACTGTAGGCCAGCTGGTCTTCCCAACAAAGCTTTTAAGCTTGCTATCCACCTACTGACTGCAGCAAAGAGGCAAACAGCGAAAAACTGGCTGACAAAGTCCCTAAGGCCCCATTCACACGTAGCGATATATCGCGCGATTTCCGCCGCGATATCGCGCATTTTTGCTGCGCGATATATCACGAGAAGTCGCCGGCTAATGATATTCAATGGAACTGTCTTAGCTCCATGTCTCGCGTCGCTCGTCGCAGTTCGCAAGTCGCTTCTACAGGACCCTTTTTTCTGCGGATTTTGCTTTTTTCTAATGGAGCCCAACGGAGAAGGTCGCGCTACCGTCGCTGGAACGTCGCCCCGAAAGTCGCGCTATCCCGGCCGCTGCAAAAGGTATGTCGCTACGTGCGAATGGGGCCTTAGTGTGTCTAGAGCAGCGGTTCTCAACCTGTCTAGCCTCAGGACCCACATTTGTCCTTGGTCATTAGGTCACAACCCAAGTGGCACCGCGCTAGGACGCGCGGCATTGCGGCGCCGCGCGTTCTGGTGCGGGCAATCAAACGGTTGGCGGGAGGTGCGCTTGGGGTGCCAATTTTAAAAAATGCCAAAGCAATGCACCTTCAGCAGCAGAACGCGTGGTACAGTGTGTTGCTCATACAGGACTGTGTGCTTAACACACTGTACTAGTGTGAATGGGCCCTCATAAACACTTGCAGACACACAGAACCACAGACACAATCTCACACATGCACAGACATTCTCACACACGCAAATTGTTTTGTTTTATTTTTTAAGATCCACCCAGTCTCCCCACCTTACAAGAACTGTAGTGAATCTTCAGCCCGGGGTCTAGTGTGGGCTGCTGTGCTGTAATGGAACTCCAACCTTATGTACATTGCTTGCACAGCTCCCTTGCATGCCTTACAGAGGTGCCAGGAGCTAGAATGTGATGTCCCTTTGATCCTGGCACCTCTACAGGGCATTCGAAGGAGCTGTAAGCAATGCACGTATGGATGGAGCTCCCTTACGGCCATAATTCCAGGCCACCCCACCCCAAGCTGACCCTTGGCGCTGGGCAGCATATTTTGAATGGCTGCTCGGTGTGTAGAACTGACAGTGCTGAACTAGGGGGAGGCTGAAGAGCCTTTCACCTAGCACAGTGGAAGGCACACTGGCACAGGGTTGTGACCCACTTTTGGGTCTTGACCCACCAGTTGAGAACCAAGGGTCTAGTGTCATACACCATGTACACTGGATATTGTCCCAGGAAAAAACGCGTGGCACAATTGGAAAATACAATGACTAAATTTGAATCCACTTGGTCCCCATGGATCTGTGCATACTTTGCCTCCTCTACACCTCACCGCCTCAGACACTGGGGATGGGATATCAATGCACAGGACAGACACTGGGGATGGGATATCCATGCACAGGACAGACACTGGTGATGGGATATCAATGCACAGGACAGACACTGGTGATGGGATATCCATGCACAGGACAGACACTGGTGATGGGACATCCATGCACAGGACAGACACTGGTGAAGGGACATCCATGCAGACTCTGGTGATGGGACATCAATGCACAGGACAGACTCTGGTGATGGGACATCCATGCACAGGACAGACTCTGGTGATGGGATATCCATGCAGAGGACAGGCACTGGTGATGGGACATCCATGCAGAGGACAGACACTGGTGATGTGATATCCATGCACAGGACAGACACTGGGGATGGGATATACATGCACAGGACAGACACTGGTGATGGGATATCCATGCACAGGACAGATACTGGTGATGGTATATCCATGCAGAGGACAGACACTGGTGATGGGACATCCATGCACAGGACAGACTCTGGTGATGGGATATCCATGCAGAGGACAGGCACTGGTGATGGGACATCCATGCAGAGGACAGACACTGGTGATGTGATATCCATGCACAGGACAGACACTGGGGATGGGATATACATGCACAGGACAGACACTGGTGATGGGATATCCATGCACAGGACAGATACTGGTGATGGTATATCCATGCAGAGGACAGACACTGGTGATGGGACATCCATGCACAGGACAGACTCTGGTGATGGGATATCCATGCAGAGGACAGGCACTGGTGATGGGACATCCATGCAGAGGACAGACACTGGTGATGTGATATCCATGCACAGGACAGACACTGGGGATGGGATATACATGCACAGGACAGACACTGGTGATGGGATATCCATGCACAGGACAGATACTGGTGATGGTATATCCATGCAGAGGACAGACACTGGTGATGGGACATCCATGCACAGGACAGACTCTGGTGATGGGATATCCATGCAGAGGACAGGCACTGGTGATGGGACATCCATGCAGAGGACAGACACTGGTGATGTGATATCCATGCACAGGACAGACACTGGGGATGGGATATACATGCACAGGACAGACACTGGTGATGGGATATCCATGCACAGGACAGATACTGGTGATGGTATATCCATGCAGAGGACAGACACTGGTGATGGGACATCCATGCAGAGGACAGACACTGGTGATGTGATATCCATGCACAGGACAGACACTGGGGATGGGATATACATGCACAGGACAGACACTGGTGATGGGATATCCATGCACAGGACAGATACTGGTGATGGTATATCCATGCAGAGGACAGACACTGGTGATGGGACATCCATGCACAGGACAGACACTGGTGATGTGATATCCATGCACAGGACAGACACTGTGTCAGGGTTTCTTACCCTCCCTTGTTCAGTTAAGCTGGAGCCTGTCTTCTGTTGCAGTGTGCCTGACACTGTTTGTTCCTTCCATGACCATACCCATAAACATCATCATTCTGCAACTACAGACAAAATCCTGACAACTTCCTGTCTCAGAGTGATGATGCAACCCCAGCTCACTATTTAACCCTCAGCTTGTCCACTCAGTCTCTGCCCTTGTGTGTGTTCAGATCTACCCAATAGAACCATCTCTACTCTCTCATGACTCTTACAGACTGTCACAGTGCAGTTAGGACCAGTGTAAGGCCAGATCTGCACACTGATATCAGCCTAAATGGGAGGCCGCGAATTTACAGAAAAAAAGGTGCTACAAGTAAAATACAATTGCAGGGAAGATGATTCCCCGTTTACATTCGGCATGGGTTGATTTTTTTAAACCGGACGAAGACGAATCACATGACCTTCAAGGACTCACCAGCTGCACCGCCGGGATGGCTGCACCGTCATTCTTATCTATCAGTGTGTATTTCTGTCTCAGTCTGGACTCCACTTCCTGCTCACGCTGGCTGCAAAGAGAAAAATGTCATCATACAACGACAGGGCTTAAAGGTTTCCCGCAGAATAGGACGACTCCATTACAATATTAATGACAACTTGTAATTCAGTTAGGTATTCCTCGCCCCTCCCCACTGGCCATTTAGGAAATGTAAAGTCCAGGGGCGCTTTATGGGTTTGCCAGTCAGGTGAGCACGTGATTGGAAGGCCGTTCTACCTGCTTGTGATCGTCACTGTGTGATCAGGAGCTGTCGGAGACAGCATGGGGACAGGACTGAGCACACTCCCGGCGCAAACATACACTATATTGCCAAAAGTATTGGGGACGCCTGTACACGCACATGAACTTTAATGGCATCCCAGTCTTAGTCCGTAGGGTTCAGTACTGGGTTGGCTCCGCCCTTTAATGGCATCCCAGTCTTAGTCCCTAGGCTTCAGTATTGGGTTGGCTCCGCCCTTTACCGCTATAACTGCTTCAACTCTTCTGGGAAGGCGTCCACTTCTGGGAAGGAGTCCTTTTTAGGATTTAGGAGTGTGTCTATGGGAATGTTTTGGCAATATAGTGTATATGGCAGCACAGAATAAGGCCTACTGTACGTATAACACATACCTGCTGACACATACAGTATACTCTATGTGTGTGTATGGCCAACGGGAAAATTAAACACAAAATTAACACACAAAAAAAGATCCAAGACTAAAGTGATTTTGTCCCTTTCTTAGGATGATCTGAACAATCCCCCTCCGCCCCCCTCACTGAGGTCGACCAATAGCTCTACGGAGAGACCACTGCTTCCACAGCAAAGCTCCTTCTCTGTGGAACGATGGCAGGGCACAGGCTTTTCTAGGCCGTGGCTGCTTTCTGAAGAAAAGGAACTGTAATATTTTGCACACCTTCTGTTTCGATGCTCCTGGAATGGATTTTGCCGATTTAAACTGAAAGTATGATGGGGCTATATTATTATATTTGTTAAAGCTTACTACTCATGGAATAATTAAATTAGCTCTCTTATTTAGCTTCCTATAGTCCTTTTTAGGGATGCACCAATACCAATACTAGTATCAGTATCGGTGCCGATAAAGAGTATTTGGGCAAGTACTTGTACTCGGCCAAATGCTCCGATACCTCCGATACCGCAACTTCCCGGGCAAAGGGAGATCTCCCTCTGCCCAGCACTGCCGAGGGAGCATGGAGTCGGCTTCCTTTCCAATCATTATTGACCCGCCTCCCGGCTTCCTGATTGGCTATGAAGCCAGTTTCACTTGATGCTAGGTAGCCTGTCTTCCTAACCAATCAGGAAGCTGGGCAGCATGTAATGACCCACCTCCCAGCCTACTGATTGGTCAGGAAGCCAGGCTGCCTAGCAACAAGTGAAACCGGCTTCCTAGCCAATCAAGAATGCCGGAAGACGGGTCATGACATGCCACCCGCCTTCCTAATTGGCTAGGAAGCCGGCTTCACTTGTTGGTAGGCAGTCTGGCTTCCTGACCAGACGGCACCTCATGACCCACCGCCCAGCTTCCTGATTGGTCAGGAAGCCAGGCAGCCTCAGCAAGTAAAGCCGGTGTTCTTTCCATAGAACACCGGCTTCCCGGGCAATCAGTAAGCTGGGCGAAGGGACATGATCCGCCGCCCGACTTCCTGATAATCGGTGCACTCGGTATCGGCGAGTACCAGAAAAAAAATATTGGTACTCGTACTCGATACCGAAAATACGTTCTCGGTGCATCCCTAGTCCTTTTTCATTACGGCGATTGAAGCCGTATTAGTGCACTTGTAACAACGCAGTAGCGCACTGTCCATGATATGTTTTGTATTTGCATGAACAAGCACCACCGGTACACAAAGATTTAGCAATATGTTAAGAACTAATTTGCAAAGACAACAACCTCCGAAAAACCCACAGACATGGGGTAAAAGAGTGAGAAAGGTAAACTAACAAAAAGAACCACAGAGCAGATGAGACACAAACACAGAGGAATCCTCAGGAAACAAATGACAAACTTCGGGAAACACAGGAGGTCCGGCCGCTGGTGTGCAGACACCAGTGATATGCGGTACCTCTTGCTCGGGGTGGGGCATTTCCAATCCCCGCCCCCTGCTGGCCAAAGCCCCACCTCCTGCCGGCCAAAGCTCCGCCCCCATTGGACGAAGCCCCAAAGCTAGTGTAAAGGAGGAAGGGAGGAGACAGGGAGGAGCCTCCCTGTCCCTCACTTGCTCCTCACCGCTGAGGCTCCGTGACAGGTTACACAGCGGGGAGGATTTCCCTGCTGTGTAACCTGTAAGATGCCGATCTGAATGGAGAAAAAGCTGTCAGCTTCAGACATGATGCTGGCAGCCTTTTCCTCCATAATTCTAGGTGAGGCTCTGCCCCACCTGCCTCCCCTGACCGCACGTCCCTGGTAGACACGTTGCTCGAACAATGAGCAACAACTGCTCTAGCTCTTTAACACAGGGGCTGGAGGCTGATTGGCAGGGAGCCGAGCACTTTGGACCGAAGGCAAAACCCGGTACCGGATTAGGGAACAGGAAAATGTGATAATCATGGAGGTATCACGGACAGAACTCAACTGTGTTGTAGATTTGATACCTCTTGGGTGGAAGGTTTGGAACTGGTCAGGTTTTTATTGCCGATTGCGCCCAGATTAGGGAGATTTCCTTTTACTTCCTGTTTTATTGTCAGTGTTAAAAGACAAAAAGTGAGAGGAAATCTCTTAAAGGGAGAGGGGTCAGCATCAATAAAATCAGACAGAGCTTTCATCATTATATGCATTACTAAATAAAGTTTTGTCTGGAGTTACACATTATAACATAATTTTCTCACTCAACTTGGACAGAATGTGAAAAAGAATTTACTTCAAAATGAGTCTGAACTGTGAAAATGTCTCCTGGATCTGCCGAAGGTTAATAACCTGAATGGAATAAAAAACAAATGATTAGTTATTGAGAACTTTAATATCGGAGATAGAGGTACAACAATATAACGAGCACAACTACATGATGCAAAGAGGAGGGTGTTCCAGGGGAAATACACTGAGATATGGTACCATGCGTGGGTCTCTGCACTGCCCACCATCAATAGTACCATTCGTATCTCAGATCTACCCACCATCCCACCACCAATGGTACCAGAGATATCTCAGATCTACCCACCATCCCACCACCAATGGTACCAGAGATATCTCAGATCTACCCACCATCCCACCACCAATGGTATCATACATATCTCAGATCTACACACCATCCAACCACCAATGGTATCATACATATCTCAGATCTACACACCATCCCACCACCAATGGTACCATACATATCTCAGATCTACACACCATCCCACCACCAATGGTACCAGAGATATCTCAGAACTACACACCATCCCACCACCAATGGTGCCAGAGATATCTCAGATCTACACACCATCCCACCACCAATAGTATCATACATATCTCAGATCTACACACCATCCCACCACCAATGGTACCATACATATCTCAGATCTACACACCATCCCACCACCAATGGTACCAGAGATATCTCAGATCTACACACTATCCCACCACCAATAGTATCGTATACAGGTGAAACTCGAATAATTAGAATATCGTGCAAAAGTAATTGCAGTAAGTTCTGCAAAAGGGGCCCAAACCAAGTACTGAGTACATATGCATGCTTGTACTTTTCAGAGGTCCGATATTGTTCTATGTACAATCCTTTTTTTATTGATTGCATGTAATATTCAACTTTATTGAGGTTGTGGATTTGGGGTTCTTGGGGTTTTCATGAGCTGTAAGCCATAATCATCACAATGATGACAAATCACGGCTTGAATTATCTTGCTTTGCATGTAAGGAGTCTCTCTCATATATTAGTTTCACCTTTTAAGTTGCATTAGTGAAATAAATGAACTTTGCACGATATTCTAATTATTTGAGTTTCACCTGTATATCTCAGATCTACACACCATCTGTCAGGATCCGGAGCGCTCCCAGGTGGCGCTGGAGCCAGGTCCTGCAGTTCCTGTGCTCGCCTGCGGGTGTTTCCAGCAGCCAGGAACTGTCAGGAACCTGCAGTCAGGAAGCTGCATCAGTATTGCGTTGCCTGCACCTGACTGATTCCCATGCCCTGTGCCTTGCTACCTGAACCCTGCTACCTGAACCCTGCTTCCTATCTGCCCTCCTGTCACCGACCCGGCTTGTTACCCGACCACTCTCCTTGAATCCTGTTCCTGTACCGCGCTGCCCTCCTGTTAACGACCCGGCTTGTACCTGACCACTCTCCTTGTATCCTGAGGCCTGCTGTATATCTGCAGGCCTGTTACCCCTCCTTGTTGCTATTCCCCCTGGCTGTAGGTGTGTGTTTGTCCCAACAGTGGGTTGTTACTTCACTGCAAACCTGTGGGGGGTTGAGGGGGTTTGTAGTTTTGTCGATGTGTACCAAATAAAGTGTGTGCATAGAACCCTATCCTGTGTGGGCATATTAATTTGGTCATCCTGCGTGGGTACCTACATGTGGTGTGAGGACGCCTGTGCATGGTACCCTGACACCATCCCACCACCAATGGTACCATAGATATCTCAGATCTACACACCCTCCCATCACCAATAGTATCATACATATCTCAGATCTACACACCATCCCACCACCAATGGTACCATAGATATCTCAGATCTACACACCATCCCACCACCAATGGTACCAGAGATATCTCAGATCTACACACCATCCCACCACCAACGGTACAATACATCTCAGATCTACCCACCATCCCACCACCAATGGTACCATACATATCTCAGTACTACACACCATCCTACCACCAATAGTATCATACATATCTTGGATCTACACACCATCCCACCACCAATGGTACCATACATATATCATAATAAAAACACCACCCACCAGTACAATGGTACCGTACATATTTCAGACCTATGCACTGTCCCACCAATGGTATCATACATATCTCAGATCTACACACCATCCTACCATCAATGGTACCGGAGATATCTTAGTACTACCCACAACCGCCCCACCAATGGTACCATGCATGTCTCAGTACTACACACCATCGCACCACCAATAGTACCAGAGATATCTCAGATCTACACACCACCCCACCACCAATGGTACCGTTCATATCTCAGTACTACATACCATCCCACCACCAATGGTACCGTTCATATCTCAGTACTACACACCATCCCACCACCAATGGTACCAGAGATATCTCAGATCTACACACCATCCCACCACCAATGGTATCATACATATCTCAGATCTACACACCATCTCACCACCAATGGTATCATACATATCTCAGATCTACACACCATCTCACCACCAATGGTACCGTTCATATCTCAGTACTACACACCATCCCACCACCAATAGTATCATACATATCTAACATCTACACACCATCCCACCACCAATGGTACCATACATATCTCATAATAAAAACACCACCCCCAGTACAATGGTACCGTACATATTTCAGACCTATGCACAGTCCCACCAATGGTATCATACATATCTCAGATCTACACACCATCCTACCATCAATGGTACCGGAGATATCTTAGTACTACCCACAACCGCCCCACCAATGGTACCGTGCATGTCTCAGTACTACCCACCATCCCACCACCAATAGTACCAGAGATATCTCAGATCTACCCACCATCCCACCACCAATGGTACCGGAGATATCTTAGTACTACCCACAACTGCCCCACTAATGGTACCATGCATGTCTCAGTACTACCCACCATCGCACCACCAATGGTACCATACATATCTCAGTACTGCACACCATCCCCCAGTATAATGACACATATCTCAATGATCCTTTACAGAAGAATATTTTGCATATTTTCAAAGCTGTTATTTGATTCGAGCTTCCACATACTCACTTCTATCTCATCCTGCTTCCCCTCCAGATATCTTCGGACCTGAGAGTTAATCTCAGCAATCTGGCTGTCGGTAAATGGTTCGTAGCCGACCTCTGCTCGGCGGGCCTGAAACATGGGAACCCGGACAGTGAACCAGTAATGCTCTCAAACACTGAAACTGTGCCAAATCCCTTTCTGTCTGTAGTATATAATTCCACTGTAGGATGCCGGTGACATTAAAATATAGAAGTGAGGGGACATTACAGGTATTACTATTTTCCTAATTCGGTGGTCAGTAGTAGACAAATGGTCAGACAGTTTGGAACTGAAGATGGATGGAATTGACATCTAGCTGCTAACAAACTTCTAACAGGGTCCTGCAGGCTTGTGTGCCTATAAAAGGGGACAACTATCACCTCACAACAGAATCCTCCAGGCCAAGTGACTACAAAATTCTCAGGGTGGGGAGATCATCCCATATTGGAGGCACCACACTGTCTGCTGGCACCGCTCATTTATCTTAGATCAAAGGGATTACGTTTCCTTTCTAAAATATTAGTCGTAGGGAGGCAAGAGTTATTCCTAGCGGTGGCACGCATTCTAAGTAGGGATGCACTGATACCGATACTAGTATCGGTGCCGATACTGCGTTTTGCTCCGATACCTTCCCGATACCGGAACTTCCGGTCAGAGGAAGATTTCCTCTGACCGGCAGTGCCATAGGGTAACATGTAGCCAGCTTCCCGTGCGATCAGAAAGCTGGGCGGTGAGTAATGACCCGCCTCCCGGAAGCCAGCTCGATGCTGAGTGCATCGATCCTGCCGAACAGCCGGCTCCTTGCTGATTTGCTGGGAAGCTGGCTTCCCGGCCAATCAGAATCGAGCTTGCCGAACAGCCGGTTCAATGCTGTTTGGCTGGGAAGCCGGCTTCACGGCCAATCAGGAAGCCGAGAGGCGGGTCATTACTCGCCGCCCGGGTTCCTGATTTGCAGAGAAGCAGGCTCCATGCTGATTGGCTGGGCTGCCAATCACAATCAAGCCGGCTAAACAACATGGAGCCGGCTTCCCGGGCAATCAGGCGCCATGTCATTGCCCGGAAAGCCGGCTCCATGCCAGCGGAAGCCCCAGTATCGGTACTCGGTATCGGCCAGTACCGAAAGCAAAATACTTAAAAAAACAGTATCGATGCATTGCTAATTCTAAGCTGCTTGCAGATGGAAATGGTATGCCCTGGATTCATGGAATACCCTAGGGACGGGGGACGGACTAAACATTTTTGTGGGCCCTATTGCCGGCAGTCATGTTGTGTTTGGAGCCGCTGCAATCTGGGTGATGCGCCGATGTCGGAAACCCAAACTCCGACCCTTCCATGTCAACCGGCTGCTCCATATAACCTACAAGGGCTTCAGGCCAGAAATCTCCAAAGGATTTCCCTGCTGTGTAACCTGTAACAAGCCGCTCTGAATGGAGAAAAAGCTGTCAGCTTCAGACTTGAAGCGGACACCTTTTTTCTCCATAATACTAGGTGAGGCTCTGCCCCACCTGCCTCCCCTGACCGCACGTCCCTGTTAGATTTAATAAACCGGCCACTGGTGGTGACCATCACTGGATGATATGCAGGTATCTATCCTGCTGCACACACACAATGATCCCTTACCAGAGTATCGTGGAGGGACAGCTCCCTGCGCAGGTGTTCAATCTCTTGCTGCAAATTTTTACACATTCGCTGCCAGACGAAAAACAGATGACACACATCAGATACGGGGAAAACATAAGATGACACCTAATGTTTTACAGTTCAATATGGAGGCTTCTACAATCTACATTATGGCCTCATTCACACGAGAATCGGACGGCACGTACAGCTCCATGCTGCGTGCACGGCCGTATCGGGCCGCTCCCGGGAAGGACAGGTGCTGCCTGTGATTAGTACACAGCCCGGTCCTTCTCTATGGGACTGCGCGGCCATACGCCCCCCTACGCTCAACCCAAGTGCAGGTTCGTGCGGGTGCGTGTTTCCTGGCTCGGACGCAGACGAACCTGCACTTGAGGTGAGCGTAGGGCGGCGTGCGGAGTGTGTAACACAGAATGCAGGGATCAGGAGTGTGTAGGGGTTAGAATTGTGTAACACACAAAGTGCAGGGGTCAGGAGTATCAAAAGCACAGAGTTCAGGGGTCAAGAGTGGGTAATTCATAAAGTGGAGGGGTCAGGAGTGTGTAATGCACAGAGTGAAAGGATCAGAGCGATGTGCAGGATGTTGTATTTCTGGAAGGATATAAGGGGTGCAGTGTTTTGTTTGTTTTTTATGAAGACATTCAGACTGATCATGTGATTACTGTAACGGCATAACCAATTATTATTTCAATCAGTAATAGAACGGTCTATCTTGATATATTACAGAACAGAGGGGTGGAGGAGCAGCCAGACAAATGCAGACATCTTGGGCACCTCAGAAGGAACGAGGCGAAAAAAAGGGCAGAACGTGCAACCTACAGCTCAAGGAAGGAAAGGGAGGAGGGAGGTGAAGTTGGGTCTTTTTGCCTTGTGTGCTAAAGGGTCTTGTCCCTGCATTACCCTAAGGCCCCATTCACACTTGGCGATTCGCAAATCGCGCGTTTGTCGCGATTTGAATTTTGCGCGATATCGCGCGATTTGTCGCACGATATTGCGCAAATGCTTGCATTGAAAAGCATTGAACCGCGGCTAAATCCGCTCCAAAAAGGGTCCTGCTGTAGCGACACACGACCCGCCACAGCAGGACCCTTTGCCACATTGGCAAGCATTGGAGAGCGATATCGCGCGGTAAATAGCCGCGATATCGCGGGAATTTCCGCGCGATAAATTGCTCAGTGTGAACGGGGCCTAAGACATCAGGAGATCACCACTGTTTTCTAAACTTCTAAATCCAACAGGATGGCACTTACCTCTGGGTCAAGGTGCTGGATAACAACACACTCTGCCGGTATACATTTCATCCTGCTGGCAAATCGCAGAGTAGAAAGCTGAAGACAAAATATAGAAATATAAAGATGATGAACTCAGAATAACACGGAGATCCTAAAATAGGAAGAGTCTGATGTCAGGTACAGCGCCCCAATGAGCCAGCTTACTATTATGGAAGCCACGATTCTCCCTGTTCCTATTTTCTGTTGAACCCAGGGCAACCATACTTCCAAGGGTTATGAAGGAGCTGCTATAGTTTACATGTAAACCAAATGCATGGATTTTGGCGAAGAGTTTTAATTGTAGACCTCTGCGCAGGCCCAAACTATGCCACTGCTTATTCAGAAGCTTAGATGTCCCATGCTAATATAGTTTCCACCTCTCCCCTATTGACCTACACTTCTCCTACACTCTGCAAGACATGAAGTGCAATAAATGTACATTAGTGAATTTGTTTCATCCAGGCACACGGCTCTGCTGTCCATAGAGAATAGGATTTTAACAACAATCACACCAAAAAAAGTCAATGCTAAGAACACTAAATGGCTAAACGTTTGTGGACACCCGACCATCACTCCTGTATGCGCTTGCTGGACATCCCCCGCCAAAATCATGGGTATAAAACAGGGGCGTCCCGAGGCTGGGTGACATCCGGAGCGGTAACCGAGTGTCACCCCAAGGGGACAGTCACCCGGCGGGATAAGGTATGCCGCCGGGTCCCCTCCTCTCTCCTGATACTGTCGGGCGTTCGGTCCATGACCGATCGCCCGACTTTTCAGAGGGGGGGGACACCAAAATGACTGTGAGTCATTTTGGTGTCACCCCTCCAATGGTGTCACCCGGGTGCGGGCCGCACCCCCCGCATCCCCCTTGTGACGCCACTGGTATAAAATTGAGCACACAGCCACACAATCTCCATTGACAAGCATTAGCATACAAAGACATTGTAGACAATTGGGCTTTTCCAGCCTTGTGGTCACAGTTTGGTGAAGACCCTTTTCTGTTCCACCATGACTGTCCCCTGTGTACAAAGCCAGCTCTATAAAGACATGGTGTGACCAGTCTGGTGGAGGAACTCGAGTGTCTTGCACAGAGCCTTGACCTCATCCCTACTGAACACCATTGGGATGAATTGGAACACCGATTGTATTCCAGGTCTTCCAATCCAACATCAGTACCTGACCTCACAAATGGGCACGAGTATGTGGATCCCCCCTCCGAAAGGGCCTTTTCTGTTACACCATGACTGTCACCTGTGTACAAAGCCAGCTCCATAAAGACATGGTTTGACCTGTTTGGTGGAGGAACTCGAGTGTCCTGCACAGAGCCCTGACCTCAACCCTACTGACCATCTTTGGGATGAATTGGAACACTGATTGTAAGCCAGGTCTTCTCATGGAACATCAGTACCTGACCTCACAAATTCCCACAGAAACACTTCACCATCTTATAGAAAGCCCCCCCCCCCGGAAGAGTAGAGGCTGTTATAGCCCCAAGGAAGAGCCAACTCCATATTAAACGCCCTGGTTTTACAATGCGTTGTCCCACAATCTCATATGCAGTAGGTGTGATGGTCAGATATCCACAGACTTTTGGCCAGGAAGCGTAACCTAATCTGGCAGTAGGCTTCTTGTTTTGGCTGAATTAAGTTGATTGTTCATTGATTGCAGTGTGTATGTGATGGAGGTTCTGATACGGTGTGATCAGAAGAACCACATAGACGGGGTTGTCCTCTATTGTGTTTTGCATTCCATATAACTTATATGTTTGTATGTTACACAGTATTTGAGGTTGAATAAAGACACAGGTCCATCAAGTTCAACCTTTGTGTGTCTGTGTTGTGGGTGCATGCGTATGTTACGGTCTCCCTGTGCTGCTGTGGGTTTCCGCTGGGTGCTCCGGTTTCCTCCCAGACTCCAAAGACATGCTGGAAGGTTAATTGGCTCCGGTCTAAATTGGCCCTGTATCTATTGTGGCAGTGCATGGTGTAGTATGGCGACTTTGGCACCCAGGACTCTCAGCCAAAGGGGCTGAGAGGGTCCAGAATGTGAACCATGTTATACGGAAGAGCCTGGCTTTTCAGGTTCATCCAGGTTTTCCTAATAGTAGCCTGGATCTGGAGATCTCTTAAGGTGCCCATACACTGCACGATTCTCGTACGAGAATCGCAGGAAATCCAGCGATCGTACGAGAATCGTGCAGTGTATGGAAGGCGTGCGACCGTTTCTAATGTACGGTTGTACGACTTTTGTATATTGAGCAGTTTTTAACATGATCGAGAGATGACTGCCGAACGTTCCGGTGTGCGCACGCGCACACTGCCCGTTCAGCATTGCAGTCATCGGAAGCCCGCCCCTCAGGGGGGCGGGCTTGCGATGATTGCAGGTACGATCTGCCTGTCCAAGATGGGCAGATCGTAAGTTTTTTTAATTACTTTACAACCCTCGCAAGACGAAAGTCTTGCGAGGGTTGTAAAGTGTATGGGCACCTTTAGAGCTCTGGGCGGGATGAGATCTCCAGTCCTGGGGCCAGGTGTTGCCAATGACCAGCCTGTGCTTTTAAGGAGGTTGGGCGTCCTCCTGACAAACCTGCACCCAATTTGAAATCTTCTGCCCCCATGTGCTTCAAGATGGAGACTCTCATAGTTTAGAGTTAGGACTGCACTATAAGAGGTGCCTTGGCGCGGCAGTGCGGCTTTCACATCCTCTGCAGAAGACGTGTATCCAAAGCTCTGTTATTATCCTTAGTGGTGAGACAAGTTGTTTTCCATGCTGGTTTGTGAGTGTGCCATGATGCCTTTCTACTGTTTTACTGTTCAAAGCCCATTTCGTGTGCACATTACTGTATAACTGATAACAAATTGTTGAGTGCGTTTGTCATTTGTTTTGCTTGACCGATTAGGTGCAGCGACGCATGGGGTTTCTCAGCTGCCATTGGGATGTGCGGGATCCCTTGTGTGTTTCTGTGCCTTTAAGGAGGTTGGGCGTCCTCCTGACAAACCTGCACCCAATTTGAAATCTTCTGCCCCCCATGTGCTCCAAGATGGAGACTCTCATAGTTTAGAGTTAGGACCGCACTATAAGAGGTGCCTTGGCGCGGCTGTGCGGCTTTCACATTTTCTGCAGAAGACGTGTATCCAAACCTCTGTTATTATCCTTAGTGGTGAGACAAGTTGTTTTACATGCTGGTTTGTGAGTGTGCCATGATGCCTTTCTACTGTTTTACTTATTAAGAAGCCAACCCAGAGCTCAAAGTGGGAGTTGTGTGTGTGCAGGAAGCACATGGACACAGGCAGACTCAGGTGCGTGCTGGACGCACAAGGAACATCCGGGAGAGGTCAGGAAGGTCGGTGACCCAAGGGACCTGTTAGACGCACTGCTGGGAGAGCAGTGTGAGTGCCCACGAGGGGAGAGGTCAGGATGGTCGGTGACCCAAGAGACCTGTTGGACACCGCTGAGAGAGTCCGTGATCCACTGCTGGGAGAGCAGTGTGAGTATCATAGAGAGGTGTGCTGAGAGTCTTAGAGCTGAGGAAAGCTACAAGAACTGTATATGCTGAAGAAGGCTGATTATTATGAGAATGTTGGCCTTTACATGAACAAAAGACTATTATTTATGTTGCTGATGCAAGCTGTCTTGTGTAACAAGGGAAGGCTACCCTGTGGATGAACAGAGACTTTTTCTGTTTGCCCTTAATAAACTGCATTTTACTTGCATCTCCGGTCTACAGTGGAGTGTCCTTGTTACAGTATGCATGTGAAATCCGGACCTTAGATTGTAAGCTCCTTGAGGGCAGGGAGTGATGTGACTGTACAGTATGTAAAGTGTTGGGTGAGTTATTGGTGCTATGTAAATACCTATAATAAATGACAGGCAAATCTTTATCACCCGTCTGACTAGCACATAGTACTCACAGTCTCATCAATCTGAGCCGCCTCGCCATATACATTCGCCACCAACACGGTATTACAGTTTCCTCCTGTATGTAAAAAAATAAATCGTCAATAACATCACAGCTCTGCAGGGAATTATCCATTGGACCGCGCGCGGGCAGCTCCAGAGAATATGAAGCATGGTGCCGATTTCCTGGCCGCACCACCAGCACAGGGGAGAGCATTGTGGGAACATCTTATGTAAAACTGCCGGGACCTAGTACCACCTTGTGAGGATCTTATAGCCCGTTTCCTGGACAGCACGACAAATGATGGCCTTGTCCGCATTCTTGACTTCTTATGAATGTTGTCATAGCCCTGAAGAAGGGAGAGTTCGCTGGGCCCCTAAACTCGTTGGCTGTTTTGTGTCCTCAGGGTTCTGTGCTGGGTCCCATACTGTTCAACTTATTTATTAATGACATCGGGGAGGGTGTTAAGAGCGATATTTCCGTGTTTGCGGATGACACCAAAATTTGGAGGGTAATAGACACGGACTTAGACATTATAACATTACAGGAGGACCTGGATAAAATAGGGGGAGGGGCATTAATGTGGCAGATGAGGTTTAATGTCGATAAATGCAAAGTAATGCACTTTGGAATTAAAAATAAACAAATGGGTTATACAATTATGGGGGTGCCGCTGGGGAAGTCAGAAATGGAGAAGGATTTTGGGGTCATTGTAGACCACAAACTGAAAGGTAGTTTGCAGTGCCAGGCTGCTGTAAACAAAGCTAGCAGGGTCTTGTCCTGTATTAAGAAGGGGATGTATTGCAGGGACAAGTCTATAATTTTGCCACTTTATAGATCATTGGTTCGGCCTCATCTGGAGTACGCGGTCCAGTTCTGGTCACCAGTACTAAGAAAAGATGTCCTTGAGTTGGAAAAAGTCCAGCGGAGGGCAACCAAACTAATTAGGGGTATGGAGGACCAGAGCTACGAGACAAGGCTACTAAATTTAAACATGTTCACATTAGAGGTGAGGAGATTAAGGGGGGATATGATCTCCATGTACAAAATGTTCAATGGTGGTAGCAACATTAGCGATAAACTGTTTAAAATTAACTCCATTACAAAAACTAGAGGCCATCACCTAAAATTGGTGGAAAAAAAATTCCAGCAAATGGGGCGAAGGGGGTTCTTCACAGTTAGAGTGGTTAGGGTCTGGAACTCACTGCCACAGGCGGTGATTTCAGCAAATAATGTGGAATTGTTCAAGAAACTTTTGGACGATTTCTTAAGGGACCGTAATATACAGGGGTACGGGTAATATATGGGGTACAGGTAATATACAGGGGTACAGGTAATATACAGGGGTACAGGTAATAAACAGGGGTACAGGTACTCCTAAGAATGAGATCCTAATAGGTTGGACTTGATGGACTAATGTCTTTATTCAACCTCAAATACTATGTAACTATGTGTTATCCTGGTGTGAATGTTAACGACAGGTCCACTTTAATATACTCAAGATATCTAGAAAGAGCTGTTTGTATGAGACAAATGTGAATTATAACCCCTGCCATGTAATATCTCACCTAGTGAGTCCTTGAGGGCATGGGTGAGTTTGCTCTGCCTGAACGGGATGTGGTCACGGCGGTCAGCCAGCGCAATGATGACTTGTTCCAGGTAAGACAGAGACTTGTTGATGTAAGTGGCTTCCTTCAAGAGCTGCCCTGCAGACTGAGAAACAGAAAAGGGAATACAGATTTCTGCAAAGCCTTTACAATGTATTCAGGTGTTATATGGATGGATGTCTGCGCCCCAATAAGGGTCACAGCAGGGTGTGAAGAGATGGGGACTCTGGTGAAAGATCCTCATGCTGAGTGGTGGACGGGTATCACATGCTGGTGGATGAAATATCCAGACTAACGCTATCCATAGACATGAGAGGAGGTCCATAGATCTGCCCACTGAACAAACACTGCAGCAAAAACACATTCAAATCATTAGATGAGACAAGTATGGCATCAGGCTAATCTTGAAGGAACATTTGTGATTGGCTGGGACAATCCATTATGAATAAATTCTTCCCTTAAGATTGGCCGGCCAGACGGTGCCTGCAGAGGTCATAGATTGCCGGCCGCGGCGCAGACATGTGTTTGTTTTCCTGATCTGATCATGGTCTCATGTCTGCGGGTCTCAAGTCTAAATTACAGAAGCATTTTGGGGTCCACCATTTGGGTCAAGCGGTAAGAGATCTACATGAGGAGGGGAACCTCCCAGCTCCTGAATAAAGATCTAATGCAATAGACAGGACAGTATGCGCGTGCTAGTGGTAGTCCATATGACTAGTAAACAGGGAAATATATAGAATGTAATATAGCCTTCAGTCCAGTCTTATTGTCAGCCAGAAAATTGTATGTCCAGGTATGACTCAAATTTACCCCCAAACTGTCCTCTCCCCTTCTAGATCATGTCCCAGCGGTCCAAAACAAAACAGTAGTTACCATTCAAAGTGGTTGTGACGTTAGTCCTCAACAATCCCAATGTAATAAAATCCTCAGTTATATAGTCTGCTGAAAGCTATCTTGCTGAAGTGTTCCCATAAGGTCAATTCGCCAAGACGACACCACTTGTTTGTGAGCGAGCTCATGGGTCAGGAAGAGTCCTGTACAGGTCCTAAGAGTAACCCTGAACTCTGACCTCACACTTCAGGCCCACGTCCAATCACTGTCCAAATCTCGCCTCCTTCACCTTCGTAACATCTTCAAACTATACCCCTTCCTCACCAATAACCCTCCAAGCTACTAATCCCCTCGTCTCTCATCTCAACTATTGCAACTACCTCCCCATTGGCTCACCTGTTCACAAGCTATCCCCCTTCAGTCTATATAAATGTTGATGCCAGAGCTTCCATGGGCTTCCATCAACCACCCCTCTCTGCCAAGCCCTCCACTGGTTTCCATCCCCCGCCCCTCTCTGCCAATCTCTCCACTGGGATCCATCCCCCCCCCCTCTCTGCCAATCCCACCACTGAATTGCTATCCCCACCCCTCTCTGCCAACTCCTCCACTGGCTTCCATCTCCCACCCCTCTCTGCCAATCCCTCCACTGGCTTCAACCGCCTGCCCCTCTCTGCCAATCCCTCCTCTGGCCTCCATCCCCCACCCCCGTCTGCCAATTCCTCCACTAGCTTTCATCCCCCGCCTTTCTCTGCCAAAAAAGGACAGGGAGCGGTTCGGATAGGAGAAGTCCTGTAATCCAGCAGGCAGGGCTGACAAAACCGATTGGGATTTAGGAGCAGAAAAGGCACCCCGTTGTCAGCCCAAACAGGAAGTTAGAAAGTCACTGGATTTCTAGCCGTTCAACAAGTATTTTCTGTACATTTGAAAGGGTTTTTAAAGGCATAAAACATTGGAAAATGTGAATGTACGGAAGAGGTGTACAAAATATTATTTCTTATACCCCATGCTGTCATTCTGCTTTGTATGGATGAGGTTGAGCACTGAGAGGCAGTTTAGGAACGATTGTCTGGCACACATCTGCTCACCCTCTATAGTGCTGCTGTAAAGTCTCTGCTTTCTTCCATGTGACCCGTCCAGGAGGGTGAAGCAGCACACACACAGTTACCACTATCTGTCCCATTATTCTTGACGGGAGAATCAGCCAATCACAAGAATGGCCGCGAGGTGAGCTAAACCAAATGCTTCCAATGGTCATTGATAGCCCTAAAAGGGGCCAATCACAGCCTGTGCTTCATATATGACATCAGAAAGGGGCGGCATCAGAATGTTTATCCCTAAAAGTCCAAACTGACCTCTGATTGGCTATTAGTGTCAAATCTGCAGACATATTCCCATACTCAGGAGTGGGCGTCATCAGAATGTTTATCCCTGAAAGTCCAAACTGACCTCTGATTGGCTATTAGTGTCAAATCTGCAGACATATTCCCATACTCAGGAGTGGGCGTCATCAGAATGTTTATCCCTGAAAGTCCAAACTGACCTCTGATTGGCTATTAGTGTCACATCTGCAGGCATATTCCCATACTCAGGAGGGGGCGGCATCAGAATGTTTATCCCTGAAAGCCCAAACTGACCTCTGATTGGCTATTAGTGTCACATCTGCAGGCATATTCCCATACTCAGTAGGGGGCGTCATCAGAATGTTTATCCCTGAAAGTCCAAACTGACCTCTGATTGGCTATTAGTGTCACATCTGCAGGCATATTCCCATACTCAGTAGGGGGCGTCATCAGAATGTTTATCCCTGAAAGTCCAAACTGACCTCTGATTGGCTATTAGTGTCACATCTGCAGGCATATTCCCATACTCAGTAGGGGGCGTCATCAGAATGTTTATCCCTGAAAGTCCAAACTGACCTCTGATTGGCTATTAGTGTCACATCTGCAGGCATATTCCCATACTCACCCCAGTTTTCCCAAGTCTCTCAGAACCTGCCAGGTCCACCAGGTTAATCTTTGACACCGTGTACTTCGCATCGGATAACTTCCTGGAATAAGACTGAAGGGAAACGTGTTACATTAGGAAGCGTATCTCTGAGAACCCAGGAGGAGATAAGCACAAAGATTGCTCTACTACACAAGATGCAGCTAAGCTTCTAGAGAGGCAGCCATCGAAGGACAGGACGCTCACAGCTACACACTGTTTAATTTTTCGGTCACAATAATTGTCTTTCCTAAAATCTTGGTCTGTCTGCGGTCCTCAGGGACTGGAGATCTGCAACCCTGTTCCAGATTGTAATTAGGAAATAATAGAGCCAGTGAATGTTTCATGCTTTAGCATTTAATCTTGCTTTGTAGCAGGGATGGACAATTCCCTGTCTCCAGGTCGTCATAGCAACTGTAAAAAAAAAAATCTCTCTGGCGACCGGGTCATTGAGAGCTATTTCCCTTGGGGAGGTGGGCGGGCTATCGTTGTATAAAACTGGGGCTAAGTGTTAGAACTTAGCTAATATGTAGCAGTTTTATTGACAGCCGATGTTGCACGAGACTGAGATTGAGCAAAGAAAGGCGAACCTAGCTCAGTCCGGTGCAACACCGGCTGTCAAAATCTTCAGGCCCCGTTCACACCGGGGCGGTTCGGCTGCGCGGACCCACCGACATGAATGATCCAATACATTGCTATGGGGACCGTTCATGCGACCACGTGGCTCAGCGCGATCCGAACCGCCCCCTCCCCGCCCGAACTGCCCCCTGCGCTATTTTTGCCATGCTGATCAGTGCGGTTTCCATACAGCTTTCAATGTAACCGCGCTGATCAACGCGGTTTTGTCCCTTTTAAATTGCATTTCAGTGCTGAAACACAATTAAAAACTCTCAAAACCTCCCTTTTGAAATCAGCGTGGAAACCGCGCTGATCCGCAGCCGCCCTGGTGTGAATGGGCTCTTGCATTAGATGTTATGTTTTCATGCGGTGCCCGCTTTACCTAATGATAGCCCCAGCATTTCAGCACCCGGCAACCCACTGGCAATAGCTATATCAGCATGTTGGAGAAAACCCCAAACCCAAAATGTTCCCCTTTCTCAAGGCCACATTTGTCAGCTCCAGAACCATGACTTGTCTGTATGAGAGTGACAGGCGCAGCTACCACAATGCAGGCAAGCCATGAAAACATTTGGCACTTTGTGTGTATTGTGATTTATGGTGTAAAGTTGCTCTTCTGGTAAAGTGATAAGTTAGTATTTTCATTGATCATTTATGTGTTATTATAAAGTCTGTGCAAAATGAACTGAACAAATGGTTTCCTTTTAACTGTTGCTTAACTATATATATATA